TTTGGATCCATGAGTCCATCTCCCAATCCCTAAAGCTGCTTGGGTTGCCTTGGGCGCAGATCCGTGGTCCGTCTGCTTGATCCCTCAAAGCGCCTCATTGCGCCCGATGGCCGGATCGTGGTCCGTCCCTCCCGAACCTTAAAAATGCTTTGGCTGCGCCCAATGCTTGGATCTGCGAGTCCATCTCGCTCGATCCCTAAACTGCCTTAGCTGCGCTTGGCGCTTGGATCCGCAGTCATCTCGCCCAATCCTAAAAACTACCTCATTTGCATTAACGCTGGATCCGTGAGTCTGTCTGCTTGATCCTAAACGCCTCATTGCGCCCAATGCACGGATCCATGAGTCCGTCTCGCCCGATCCAAGTAAAACCACCTCAAGTGCGCCCGAACACCTAGATCCACGAGTCCGTCTCGCCCGATCCCCAACTTGCCTCATTGCGTTCGATGCGACTCGGCGAGTCCATCTCGCCGATCCTAAAATTGCCTTGGCTGTGCCCGACGCCTTTGCATCCAGGTCCGTCTCGCTTTGATCTAAAAAGCGCCTCGGTTGTGCCCGGCCTTTGGATCCGTGAGTCCGTCTCGCCCGATCCTAAAGCGCCTCGGCTCGCCCTGCGACGCTTTGGGCGCTTCGTGACAAAACCCTCGGGCAATTCTACTTGAATCGCCCGGGGCTCGGGGCTACACCAGCGGAGTGCGCCAAGCGCACACCCACCATCAAAATGGAAAATTCCCTCATCGACAAGACAAAATACCCCCAGACGATTCCACCCAATTACCTAGGGGCTCAGGGGCTACACCCATACGATTCTACCATTGCACAGGGGCTCGAGGGCTCCTATCGGGTTCATAAACCCGGGGTTCCTAATGGACCTGCTCCCGACAAAAGCTCGGTCCGGCGAGGCGATGTTGCGACGACCACGCAACTCTAGGGCTGGCCCAAAGACCTAACGACGAGGCGGAAGGGTGATCCGGTCTCCGACCGAAGGCTGGCCAAGGAACAGACAACGCCCGCTTCCGACTGCAGCCCGCCTCTCCGACCCGAAGGCACAGGCAGGAGGAGCGACGCAGCGCTCACTTCCGACTTGGCCCCCTCTTCTCCGACCGGGAAGGCTTGGCCGGCCGCTTCGACTCGACCTGCGTCTTCGGCCAGGAAACACCGAACCTCTTCTTACGGCTCTTCTCGGCCAAGCCACGGTCGGATGGCTGAGAGACCAACATTGGGATGCTTCGCTCGGTAGGACCGAAATGGGCGAAACAAGTAAGGCGGGGCTCAAAGACAAGCTGCAACACCGAGGGCGGTACCCTACACCTCTACAGGACAATACTATCGAGACCATGGCGGAAGGTGTTTTGCAACATTCCGGGCATGTCGAACCCAAAATAGTGTTGAGGGCACCGATATTTGCCCTCTCTGATTATGGGTGCCATCAATTTCCCATACCGAACAAAGCGCGTAAGGCCCCCCACATGCCTTTGGACATCGGCGGTGTTGCTTGGTGGCCGTCATATCACGGTGAAGCGGTAAAACCTCCCACATGCGTCGACATCAGCGATATTGTGGGCGCCTACAATCATCTTGTACCCAGCGGCTTGGGCAACAAGACTTAGTAACATGCGTACACACTCTCTCTCTCTCACGTGTAAGGCCGTCCCCTTCATCAATAAAAGGGGATGCGCCCTCTCCCAACAGACGATCGATTCAAGACACAACAACAGAACCACTAGGTTCAAACCTCGAGCACATGCTCGAATACTCGATCTGCGTAGGAGCTCTCGTCACTCTCAGCCCTTTAGACCATAGTCCGGCCGGACCTCTTGCACCCCCATCTTACTCCTTCTCGTTTGTAACCCCACAACAAACTTCGAGCACCTGGGCTTAGGAATAAAGTCACCGGCCGACTCAAACTGGACATAGGGCACGTTGCCTGAACCAGTATAAACCGTGTGTCATTGAGTGCTAGGCCACATCCGATCACAATATACGGCAAAACTACAAATATTTACTTGTTGGTCACTTTCTCCACCGGCGCCATGATTTAGCAACAAAGAGGTCTAGATATGAGTTTATAAAACTCTAAAGAGACTACAAATTTAGCAAAACTCTGGTTTTCAAAACCATAAAATTTGTTGCATCAAAAGACTTCATACAACTCTAATAAAATTAAAGTATTTCATAAAAGCATGGTATTTTTCTAAAACTCTAAAAATACATACGCATCCAAGCAGGGCCTAAGATTTTGAACTTGCTACATTCGAAAATTGTATATGTAGTAGAAGTATTATTTTTATAAAATATAGAATAATCAAAATTAAATTACCAGGTGTCGATATGACATAGTATTTGAGTCAAATTTTATAAAATTATTTGAAATAAAAACTAATAAACTTTTTGTCATGCCATAGTAATGTAATTTAAAATAAATTATCAGTGTCATTTATGTGTGGTTTGTTAAGTAACAGTTTAGCACTTGATGATCTATTAACTAAAATATCCTAATGTATGTATGTTTGATTGGTTGATATATTAACAACTTTATGTTAATAACCAAAATGTATAGCATGGATCATGGAGGATGCAAACTATACAGCCACGATGTTGTTAGAAATTGGTCCTGCTATCAGCCAGGTTGAAGGTGAAAGAAGGAACCAGAGAAACCAGAGGATTTATTTTAACGAACATCTGTCCCTGCTGATGGTTCAGTAATTAACTAATCGGTCCCAATACAAGCCTACATGAAGCTAGTCCTCGTTTGAAACCCAAAGATTGGGTATATGATCCTAGAAAATGAATTCGTCCCTTTGTGACATTTGGTTTATTTTTTATTCCAATTTGACACTATATGTTCAATTTCGTTGCAACTTATCATGAGATTATTCATAAAAGGATCAAACACCCTGGTAGAAAAACAGAATGGACGGAAGTCAATTATTAGGATCCAACTGGAAAGGTTATTAAAGTCTGCACATCTTGACCTGAAGAAGCTACGTTTTCTCCTTATTCAAACTCTCTTGGATGCAGGTAAGCCTAATGTGATATCCCTTGTATCCTTAGCTTTTTAACCATTCTAGAGATGAGACAAGTGAGGCAAGTTACATGGACAATTACTCAAGTGTCTATGGTAAAACCTGTTGATCAGGATATATGCCAAAGGCCCGTGAGTACTTTTCCTAACTTTTTACGCCATGTTCAGAATAGAACTTTAAATCATTGATTTTATTTTAACATGTTTACAGGATCTAGTAAAATTATAATAGTTTGAAAAGGTTGTTAGAGAAAAGGATAAAAGTTACATATGTTATATGTTATTTTAATGTCTAACTCGATGAGATATTTAAAAGTTACACTCCTATCACCTAATAATAGGACTTCTGAAAATTTAGAACAAAATAAATTAGGCAACAAGAAAAAGCCTAACATTCCCATCATTAAACAGTAATGTCCAGTCCTGATTGGCTTTAATAGTACAGGCTATAAATTGCTGATTCTTTATCAGACCGTGGAGGATGGGACTTGGTCATGGAGATATTAAACCTAAGCACCAGACGCCCTTTGCAACGAAAGGATACAGTAGAGTAAAAGTTTAGAAATCTTAATCTCATGACCATCTAAAGAGTTGAGGCTCTCAAAAAAATCTATAGAGTTGCGACCACAAGTATTAGTAACAATGTAATAATGCTTGTACATGAGCTCTTCTGAAACTTCACAAGCACCTACAGTCATTTGTGTAATGTAAAATTTTTAAAAAAATATTACTACATGTTACTAACTTTATTATTTTTGTAGTTTACGCTTATTCCTTTTAGGCTTTTTATTTTGCCTGTTCTTTATCATGCTCTGTGTGCATGATTCTTTAATGACATTTCACTACTATAGAAATGGATATCGCCAACACTATTTTGATTCTATTAGAAACATCGGTAAAAATATATCACCTCCGATAATTGAACCGTTGATAAAATGGCTTTCACCACCATTGTGGCAGTGAAAACCGGTTTTGAGTATATAATGTCAGAAACCCTAGCCCATTCTCACTCCCTCACCGACACCCCACCCTCTTGACCAGCTCTCTCTCCCTTACTCGAGCACTTCCTTCCGCCCCTCTCTCCCTCACTAGCACTCCCTCCGGGCCCCTCTCTATCCCATTGTAGCACAGCGACCCGAAGATCGGATCTCGCCATCGTGGTGAAACAGAACACCACCCATGGCCCTCGTGCATGGCGGATGCCGCCCAACATAGAGATGGACCTCGATGTCACAATCCTGGTCGCTAGGGTCAGCTAAGCGTGAACCATCATGGACATTGCGAGGCACACATGACACGTGTATTTTTAATTATTTTATTCAAATTTCAATATCGGTTTCAATGTGGCGGTGATGAAGGTGAGCATCACCACCGAATCGTAAAACCGGTGGTGATGGTGGTTTTTCAAGCAAGCGGTGATAATGTTTGCGTAGTAGTGTTTTGAAAGTGGTTTACAGACCCTAGATTTCTAATATTAATGCTAAAACAAATAACTATTTGGTACAACCATGCGCATAAGGGCATCTTGATTATAAATTTTCTTTACATGGTTTCTAAGAGTGCCACATCATTTTATAGGTTTAGGTTGATGAATGAAATGATTCCTCTCAAGACACAATTTTATAAATAGATAGTAAAGCAAATGTGAAGAAAATCACTTAAGATTACCGACATCTGAATAGATAGTGTAGCAAATGCGCATGCATGAATGTGTAACAAAATAAAGCTATAAATTAACTTATACGAACACAGCTTCTTGAGCAAAGACCAGGCATCTTCTTGCTCTAATTTGTTGACATGGTGGTAGGGCACCTCCGCCATCATGCCTTTAGCGACCATGTCATGTCTTGTGGTAACGAGGACACAACTACCTTGAGCTAGGACGCTTAATAATGGAGTTTTGAGGACACCCTCCCATGCATGGTGGTCCCAGGCATCATCCATCACCAATAAAGTCTTGCAGTCCTTCAAGGCTTCCTTAAGGGTTCGCTCTAGTCACGGCCTTTGTGTTTCTTGGTGCTTGATGGTTTCCTTGTGTTTTGATGATAGCTCTCTCTAATAGATCAACATCGCTAAATTCTTGATTGACACTCAACCATATTCTCTTTTGAAACTCTTGTTTGATGAAGTCATGATTAAAGATCTTCTTGGCAAGGGTGGTTTTGCCAATCCCTCCTACTCCCACAATAGCATAAACCATAACATTTTTGTGTTCATGTACATTTTGTCCTTCTTCGTGAGCAAATCCACAAGATTTCTTGTGTCCTCCTCAATCTTCTCACTGTGACACCTAACTCATCCTCCCCTGTTGTCTCACGCCTAAGCGAAAGGGAGGATTCTACCTTTTGTGTTGTCCTCATAAGATGCAAGGTTAACGAAGTTGAAGGTTTTGCTACGCTTCTCAATGTCATCTAGCCTCTCATTAAGACTTTTTGTCTGCGATTACCGATGTCATGAGCATGGAGAGGATTCCTCATACAAAAGAGCAAGGGATTGAAGCAGCCCATATCAGAGCTTCGACCCCGTTCTAGTGCCTTGAGCTGGCACAAATCAAGGATGTTGGTAGCATCATACATGGCATTCCTAAGCTCTCTTGCCCATGATTTCACACTCTCATCACTGATGTTCCTCTTGTCAGCATCGGCGAGGAACCTCTTAAGGTCCCCAAGCTTCATCCCCATCTTTTTTATCTCATTGGGAACACATAAGAGCAGATGCACCTCTTCTTTAGCCATCTCCAACAACATGTCTTGGAGGTAGGATGCTAAAGCATCCAGTACCACCACCATTTTGCTGCTTGGTATCTACAAAATCGAAATTAGATAAAAAATGATGTGTTTTGTTTTAAAGGAAAGGTAATCTTGATGGTAAAAAAGTACCGAGGCTCCTATAACCTTGGCACTATTATTCAAAGGGAACACTGCAACAGTAGATAGGTACTAGAATAATCACATTTAAATGATAACTGAGTACTTTTGGTTCCAGATCTGGGCGCATAGTAGCAAGCTAAAAGCGATAGCGGAGTTAACAAATTAATGAGCAGCTAGCAGATGAGAATATGATGAAGTTTGATCTATGGATGATGTTGAAATATTATATACTTGGGCACCTAAAATCAAAAAGCTACACCAATCTCAAGCCGTTACCCTTGTGTGAGTATATTTGTGAGTGGAAGAAGAGCATAATATCTCCAACAAAACTAGAAACAAAGAAAGAAAGAAAAAAAAAAGAAAAGGATGGAAATAAAAATAGAGAGGGCGGGAAAGACTAGGCATATGCACTTGATTTGCAGCGGGGAAAAGAGAATGCTGTGTGTGTCCTTCAGTTCCGGCGTCAAGGAAACGGACCTGTTGAGCGATGGCTGGGCTGGAAATGCGTAACGTTTGATCAAGTCTTTGGCGTGGTTTGCCTAGCAGTTGCAGTTGGAGATGCCTAGATCTGGCCTCGGCTCGGTGTGGTGTGGAGCTCTTGCTACCTTGACGAATGACGGCGGAGGTGGGAGTAGGTGGTGTCACGAAGGGCTGAGGGCGATAGCGAGGATTCTTGCTAGCCCGACAGCGGGCGTGAGCTAGGAGGCGTGAGGTGTGCCTGCGGTGGCTACGCTCGGGCTGCTTTAGTTGGTGAGCAAGGCGACTTTATTTATTGTTGGGCATGGCCACCTAGTTAACTGAGCTGGTAGTGGCGAGAGAATTTTTTTGTTTTACTCGAGCAGTTTCAAATATAAACACACACAACCACAAGGTAGAGAGAATGTTTATATATAGGGATTTTTGTCCACAATAAAAGGAAGTTTGTAGCACACCATGATTTTGTGTTTTGTGTCTCCAGCACACCCAAGCAAAAAAAATGACTAGCTAGCCACGGGCCCTCTCCATTCCTTTGAATGCGTTTTATTTCTCCGTCCCTAATCTCCTTTTCCCCCTCGGTGGCCAACAATCGTGTTGTTGGCTTCGACGAGCACACTAGATCTCTCCTTTGCGGCTGAGCGATGTCTGGATGCCACGCCCGACAACAACAAGGGGCCACCCAGCCCATCAGCGAAGTGCAATGAGGTTTTTTGTTTGTACCAAAGAGAGACTCTAGAAGTTTCTAGCTTAAATCACTTACTCTGCAATTTGTCTATCATCAACTTCTAGCACTCGAAATCCCTACCTCAGCAGCGCGTATTCCCCCTAACCACTCCACACTGCAAGGCGTTTGTGTTTTTAAGACCATAAGGCGTTTGTGTTCTTTTTTGGGATATTTGTCCTCTCCATTTTATATCATATGGTTTTGAAATGAGTATTTGGGATATGATCAAATGAAAAATTGTCAACTACAAAGTTTTACAACTTTCCGAGTTCTACAACTTTGGTTTTGATCATTTCTCCATTCGAAGTCATTTAAAAATTTCAGTTTCAGATGTGAGGAAATTCAACCGTAATTTTCCTTCGAAATTCTTAACTACAACAACACACTCACTTGTGACTATAGAACATATGGACTCCTTTGATATTAATTCTATAAAATCTTGTGGTGTATATTTAGACATTCAAATGATCTCAAATCAAAAAGTTTGTACTAAAAGTTGTAGATCTTGTAAAGTACTACAACTTTGGTATAGTCTTCATCGGACATCATATGAGAAAGTTATTAAGTTCATATCACTTTGCCGAATCACGCCATTAACCGATGGTGATAGTATCACTTTGGTGCTTTTAGCCAAAAACCACAGTGATGACCCAATATCATTGCGGTTCATGCCTCAAACTGGTAGTGACATCATTGCCCGTTTAGCGAAACATGGTCCAATGTGGAAATGAGTCGAAGGAAGAGAGTGTCAAGGGCAATATGGTCCTTTGACTGGGCATGGTGTGTCATGGACAAAACTAATGTTTTTATAGCGTGTTTGTGACTAATTCATTGAGTACAATGCGCTGTGCACAAATCCACTCTTTCTGAGTGTCCTGGGGACAAAAATCCCTATAAATATCAACAGATGAAGCAACCACACCAGAAGGGAACAGATATGGGGACAACATGGAACTTTTGTATAACTGGAAACCATACAACAGATGGTTGCAATCAACTCTGAAATTACGAATAGCTTATGATCGGCCCTTTATATTAAAAAAAATGATCGGTGGCTGGTCCAATGCGACCTCTAGGGACTAGTTAAGATTATTTATTTATTTTTTTAAAAGAAACAGATCGACAAGTGCTGAATATGGAATGCTTACAATTACAGAACAAGATGATCGACGAGCTCGCTCGCTGGCAGCTGTCACCTGGCACCGATCGGCCCTGTGCGCCCTGAGAATAGATCGACTGAGAGGATGGTTGGATCAACAGATGAAGCAGATGAATGAAGCAAACCAGAACGGAAGAGAGGAAGGGGGCGACATACAATTTTTGTATAACTGGAAACCACGATGATGGGTATCTTCGCCGAACAAATACGGAAGAAGTTAAAAGATGGGGTTTGAATCAAAACGAATGGCTGCAATCAGCTCTGCAAATAAGAATAGCTTATTCGTCAGTGGTTTGTTCAATGCGATCTCTAGGGAGGGTCAATATTTGAAATAAGAGAAAAAGAAACAGCTCGAGGAGAAGTGCTGAATCAATATTGGGTGCTTACTGCTTACACAGTTACTGATAAAGACCACGATGATGGGTATCTTCGCCAACAAAAAATGAAAGTTGGGTTTGAATCACAACGAATGGATGCAATCAACTCTGCAAATACGAATGGCTTATTATTCGTCAGTGGTTGGTTGGCTGAATACGACCTGTAAGGGAGGGTCATTCTTTTCATTATTTCAAATAAAGAAAAACAGACAGATCGAGCAGAAGTGCTTACAGTTACCGAGCAGGACTCCAAGACGATCGACGAGTTCGCAAGCTCGCAGCTGGCTCCTTCCGATCCGAGGCTCTCGCGCCCGGAGACGAGAGTGGACGGATCGATCAGCAGAACAGTGATGTGTGTGACATGAATGAATGAATGAATGAATGAATGCGAGATGATGGGGATAGAGAGACGCGTAGAAGCAGAGGAGGCGCGCATGCTTTATACACACACTGCCTACGACGGAGGGGAGAGGACGCTTGTATCCACCTGGAAGCAAGCAAGGGATACATTTTCTGACACGAGGGCCCGGGTCACGTTAGCTGCGCGCCCAGGAAGGAATGTATCCTGAGTGCTTTTGCTTTAGGCCGCGGTGTTGGAAGCATGTTGCAGCGATCCATCCTGATGTCGTGTGAGGGCTTTTGCTTTTGTCCACTGGAATTGGAAACGGCAAAGCATATGTTGCAGCGAGAAGCAAGGAATATATACAAGCTGGGCATGTGCTGCCAGCGAGATGTTGGAGGGGCCCGTGTCGGTGCGGTCGAACATGAGGACGAAGTCCCCCGGAAGCAGCTGCATGTGCATCGCCGACACGCCGATGCTCGCGTGGAGGAGCTGCTATTCTCCCTGGGACGGGGCATCATCGGCGGCGGCGGCATTGGCAAAGCAGCTGGCGATCAGGAGAAGGTGGAGAAGGAAGGATCTTGGCTTGGGCATGGATGCTGAGCATGCACGCATGCGATCTTTAAGCCTTTTCATGCATCCTTGCAATGTGATAAGCTAAGGTAGGGTGTACAGAGTGTGTTGCATACTTGCATCGCATTGTGACGTTGTGTTGGTGGAGGGTTGGTACAGGGAAGGTTGTGGGGAAATGGGGAATACGCATTTCATGCTTGGAACCGGGTATGCCATTTTTGGACCTGCATTCATTCTGTTGACCAGTGAAAATATTCAGGTTTAGATAATAATTAGCTGAATTTTTGCCAAAATTTGATCAAGCGGCCCGGCATAAAGAAACTAATGATTAGGAGAAGTATGCACTTTTACACTGAAGGAAGAACCGAGGGATGTTAGAACATATCTTCACCGGATTAAGAATAAAATGATCCCCTTTTTTCTGTAACTAGTGATAATAAAGATTGAAGGAAAAAAGTAAACTCCACTAGACCCCTTTCTAATCTCCTTACACTATTGTTTTATTAATTGAGAAAACCATCCCCTCAATCCCTCAAAAGAAAGGGGAGATCAAATCAATCCCCTTCCCTTACCCTCCCGCATGCAGTGGTGTCTAGTGGCTAGAGACATGGCGGAGAACTTCTCCACCAAAAAAGAGATGCTAAATTTTGCTACAATCGTGACACAGTTTTCTTGGCTGCAATTTTTGTGAATGCGGTAGTTTATTTAATCTTAATTTTCTTTGAACTTTGTGGCAAAGCTAAGCATCAACCAAATAGGCCATCGGTTTGTTTTGTGGCCAAAGGTTTAGCGTGCCATACATGCTTTTATGCACGGGCGTGCCTAGTGCCCGGACGTCCGGATGCCTGCGCCCACGCCGCTTGCTGCGTCCGTCCCGCCGGCCACGCTTGCTGCTAAGCCTGCCCTGCATGCAATTGTTGCGCCTGCACGTCCACCTTGCATGCCGCATGCAATCGCTAAGCACACACACCTTTTGCCTGCAAGTTGGTGCGTCTTCGCGCATGTAGTTGTCTTTGATGCACATGCAGGTGGGGACCACCCACCGCCCGCTTAAACATTGTCACGCACATGGGGACCACTACGCCCGCATGGACTGCCTCCGCATGTGCCCGCTTACTGCGCCTGCAAATGTTGCAACATGAAGCACTTCTGCAACATACGTCTGAAACAGGTGAAACATTTACAACATACTCTTGCAACATATGTGTATAGCAACACAACATATACAACATCTAGATAAAAACACTTGCCACATACGTGCGAAGCAGATGGAACATTTTGAATAGGCGCTTGCAACATATGTATATAGCCATTGAAACATATGCAACATCCAAATAAAACACTTGCAACATCGTATCAAGCAGATGAAATATTTAAAATGTACACTTGCAACATACTTGTATAACCATTGCAACATATACAGCGTCCGGATGAAACACATACAACATCCGGGATGAAACACATGCAACATCCAAATGAAACATCTGAAATATACATCTAAGCGCATGAGGCATACTGGGCGGGTGCCATAGAGTATGCGGGCCCCACGCTCCTTCTCTCTGCCGGTCCTTGTCTCTCTTGTCACAGCGCATGCACAGGCCCTCACGCATTGCATGCACCCCACGCCGAGCGAGGCCAAATGCGCTCCCATGCACTACCCTGCGCCCCACAGCAGAATGAGTGGCCGCCACGAGCTCCCATCGCTGACAGCGCCGCATGCACCCCACGCCGAGCGAAGCCGCCCATGCTCCCATCGCTGCCCGTAGAAAAGGACACATGTCAGCCCTGCTGGCCAACTTCTACGCCCACTTTTTTTTTTTTGGTGCGTCATGTGCATGCTATACCATATCCTCGCTTAATCCAGAGGTTTTCGGACATCACCATGGTGGCTCTTCTAATCATATATTACCCACATTTTGTTCTCTGTTTGTTAAATAATGTTCTATGGGAAAGAGAGATATTACTAAATCATCTTGCTATTTTTTTAATTTCAGGATCAGATGATCTTTTCTGTTCTTGCTTTCTAAATTAATCTTATTTGGTATAGACCGTGTACAACAACACTACCACAAAAATGATTTCACGAGACAGTGGGTTTTATTTACAGAGGCGGACATTTTCTTCCCTTGCCTCTAAAAATCTCTCCTTGCCTCTATAAATAGATTTTCAGAGGCGTTAAAAAGACCATATCTGAAAATAAGGTCGTTTTCAGAGATGGCCTTCTTATGAGACCGTCTTTGAAAATCCAATTACAGAGAGCAGCGTGTCCACTGCAGGATTACATAAGCGATTTCTTACACAAGGACTTCTTAGATTTGAGTCGTGCATTGCGGTGATGAGAAGCTTATGGCATGACCCTCGCTAACTATTTTTGCGCTTGGGGCAATCTTTTGCCCGAGTTATCGGCGGCCATGATTAATGTGCCAAAATGCTAAACTGAGGCCAAATGTATCTCTCCACATTTTTATTAATCAGAACAATCTTCTGCTCTGAACGCCTCAGAATTAATTTGGGTCTGCTGTTGCAGCTTCCGTCGATCTAGGCCTGGATCCACCTCAGATTGTTTAAAACTGGGGCAGCACGTATTCTTTTGTGATGGCCAAATAAATCAGTAAGTCTAAAGTTTACTTGACTAACCAGAACAACAGATAGCATCCATACATATTGTGTCTGTTAGAGATTGCTTCACATATTGTCCAACAGGTGATCTTGACAGACAAGCATACACATATCTCCGATCCTCATGCATGCATGTTTCTTCTCAGTACATTGATGATTTCTTCAATATTTATCCATGATACATGCTGCATTCCAGTTCTAGTTTGTGTACATGGAGGATTTTATTTGTTCTTGTTAACCGGTATGCTGATGCTGCTGTTGTTGTTACCTTGTGGTTCTCCTGTAGTTGGATGACTGGGTGCACTGTGGGGAATACAACAAGAAGAACGATTGGGAGAAGCTGCAGTAGCAGAAGGAAAGGGTGCACTGGGCTCAAGAAGGTTCTCGTTGAGGATGGCCTGTGGCGCCCCGGTGATGCAGGTGGAACTGTTCTTTTATTGATTTGCAGAGGCGTGCATCGTTAGACACCTGCTTCTATAAACATGAATTTCAGAGATGGACATGTTTTCCATTTACACTGGCGCTCCCACAGAGGTGGTTGAGCAGGCCGCCTGTGTAATGTTGTTGTGCCCAACTCTGTAAAGGAACTTCTAGTTGTGTATTGAATCTAGATAAAATAGGCCAAACAAGATTTAGGTGCAAAAACATCAAGCTATGCCAATATTTTTTGGTTTGCGAATTACATGGTTGCTGATCTAAATACAGGTTTTGACCCATAATGTAGATGTAGGCTTCATCTGCTGATCTAAACATGCTGTTTTGGCCCTCTGTTCTTCTATGCCATTGTAGAGTTGGTTATCACCAAATTTTGACAGGTCCTGTGTGTTGGTGTATTTTTTTTCTAGACTGCAGCAGATATAGAAGCTAAAAGGTTAGATTGGTATGGGGATGAATTTTCTGTAGTATGATCCTACCTAAGCGTCGATTTTAATTTGGTGTAATATAAGCATTCTGCTTGGTTGGCACTGACTGTGCATGAATCCATGATCTGATTTATATTGCTCCTTGATAATTTGAACATTAGGATATAGATGTGCTGATGTGTTTGACCAGCACATGATATGCAGTACATGTGAACATGGTATGTCAATGTGTTTGCTCTACCATGATGGTAGTAAGGAGTTCATTTCAGCCAAATATGTTTATTAAGTCAAATAGACCTTGCAATGAATATAGACATGCCATTGTATGTCTGTGTTTGGTCTACCATAACATGGTATGTCTATGGTTTAGATAGTCTTCAGCTCTGTATTGTACATTTACTTGCCATTATGTAACCTTTAGCATATAATTCAGTGACCAGTCGTCCTATGTGCTGGTTGTGGTTTGATGTGTAAAGCGTTGGAATCAATAATGTGATTAATTGATTTTTGCTATACTGTCACTGTGGAACGCCCGTACATGTAGCTTTTCTATGAATATTTTCAGCATGTGCTTCAGATATTCAGTCATGGACATAGCTAATGATGAGAAGCACAGATCCCCCAGCCTGCCGAACAATGATATGTGATCATAATCTTCTTCTCTGGGTGTTCCAGTTTCATAGTGCATCAGTGTATGACAGTTGTAGGCGTTTTATAGTACATCAATGTTGCTATTACCAGTGTATGACAGTTGTAGGTGTTAGATTGTAAGAATTCATTTCATAGAAGTCAACTCATGTTTTTTTTTGTTTTCTGTAATGGAGCACATTGAAATGTACCACAATAACAGGCCTGAATAATTGTAACGTTGTGACAAGCACCGAGTATACATTGTTATCTGAAAATAACTCTCAAGAAGTTCCATGTTCTCCTAACATGGTCTCGTGCAAGCTACAATTCACGAAGAATTTTTTTTTTGGCAATATGATTGATTCAAGAGTAAATTTGCGCAAAGGATCTGGTCTTTACATTGTCGGTTTTCCATGACCTGCCTTGAGATAGAAGCAGCCCACACCATTTCCAGTATTAACAAACCAGAAACTGAAGTGAGGCTTGCTATGTACATCCACTTAGCAAGCTGCATTTCCAGACACACCATAAACCATCCAAGCTGAAAGAAGCTGTATCATAACGTTTGTTCTGTAACGACTCAACTTATATATACACATGCCTCTCAATTCTCAGTGGCAAACTCCATGGAAATTCAACTGTAACGTGTACACAAATCACTGAAGGAAAATGAACAAATTCACATAACATTCTTGTCTCATTTTATTTGCATGTCAAATATCTGACTGCCTCGGAACAACCCGCAGGCTCAAAAAAGGAATAAATTCACATCACAAATTCTGCATTGTTGCTTCTTCAGTCAAAGCGATGACGGTTCCAAGGTTCCTTCTGTCCATGTAGGTCACAGACGGGCACTCTACTTGCATGCAAGGGTCATATGCATTATATAATCTGCAGTGTTATACGCCCCTTACGAACAACTAGTAACAAGAACTGTATGTTGCATACTTGATTACTCCCTCAGTTGTTCCACATTGACACATTCTTCTTCGATTTTGTCCCTTGAAATTTTCTCCACTTCGTCCAACAACACTTTCATCCCGTGAAACGTCACATGCAGTCAAGTGACGAGATATTCCAACAACAAAAAAGGTACATACTCAGTATGCAACGTATAAAGCAGCAGTTGTGTTAATTTACCTGAAGCGTCAGCAGAAGACGTTGATGTTTGTCTTGAAGCTGAATGGATCGCCTGTGTACTTCACGTACCACTTCCTTTCAATGTTGTTGTCATCATCATCTGCATATGCATTGACCTGCTTGATATGGCAGAACTTGTCCCACTCAGGGCCAGATTCCCCTTCAGCTATGGAAGCGAGCAGGGAGATGTCACAGTTTAGACGCAAATCCCTTGGGTTTACGTCCTGCAAGTATCCAGGGAGTGTTTTCATGTCGTAGTCCTCCAGTGTGAGTCCATGAAGTGCAGGCAAACCCTCCAATACCTCCAACTCTGGGCATCTTATGATCATGAGGTTCTGCAAATTTGGCAGATTGCTGATCCTCTCTAGTCCATGACATCTACTCACCACAATTTTCAAACCAGAACCAAAGTTTTCCACAACGCTTTGGTGCTCATGATGGTGTGGTTGTAAGAACTCTGCCCCAACATGCTTGATGGCTGGGGCACTTATAATCTGTAGGGACTCCAAGCTGGGGAGCTGGAACAAGCTGTCAGGTAGCTCTGTGCAATAAGGCAAGTCTTCCATGAATAGAACCTCAAGCTTCCAAGGCACACAATTGCTGTCAATGTCATCCACCGTGGAAGTCGTTGACCAAAGTACCCTTTGATTATAAGATTTTCTAAGCAAGGCGGAGGCAGAGCTCATCAAACACCTTCTCGATGTGTTGCTGCTCTTCCTGTTTCACCAACCAGGTGAGCACCTCCACTACTACTAGTGCACTGTAAGTACAGATAGCTGAGGCACACCTTTTCACCAAGCCTGGCTTTTATAGCAAATGAGGAAGAAGATACATTCTCCAGGCCATGTATACGAAGACGCATGAGCTGGTTAAGAGGTCCTAATTCTTCCAAACTACACCAATCACCCTCCACATGGGCTGGAAACCCCTCTAATATCCTCAAATTAGTTAGGCTGCCGAAACCCCTGGGTATATTGTTTATACCTGAGCCAAGAAGGCTTAGATACCTCAGCTGACGTAACTTTCCAATGCCTACAGGAAGCTTCGTCAGACTTCCACAGTTAGAAAGGTCAATGCACTGCAAGAATTGCATCATGGCTATTTTTCTGGCAGCCTAGATGTGTCAGTGCCATCTAGGCACAAATACCTCAAGTGTTTGAGTTGGACCAAAGATTCAGACAATACATCAAAATTTCCATCTTCTATATGTAGGGTCCGCAAACAAGGAAAAGATGACAGTGAATCACCTGGGTTGATCTTTGTTTCCCCAACTAAAATAAGTGTTCGCAGTGATATATGTGCTTGTAGAGAACTCCACTCTAGCTCATTTGACTCTGATTCTTTGGATTTTAGTGATAACCGAATAACATTTTGTGGGTTAATGTTATTGGTATGGCCAGCCTCAGTTTTGTGAGCTATCAATGTTTCATCTCTAGTCAAATACTGAGCAAACGAGCGAACAACATCATGCATATTTGCAAACTGTCTGGTCTATGTACCGTTGATCAGGCTCTAGAAGGTTCCTAGCTATTAACTCGTCATAGTACTCTTTTCCTAACACTTCCAAATCCTGTGAGTTTCCATGAACAAATCCTTCACTAATCCACATGGCAACAATACGGTCATACCAGAACACCGTGTTCTTTGGGAGGAGGGCGTAGTGCAGAAAGCAAGACTTCAACTCAGGGTTCAGATCTTGATAGCTCAGGTATACTGCATAGTTTAGCTCTTCAGGCATTTGAGATACTGACCATGTAGAATCATTAAGGACCTTTGTCCAATCGCTTCGATCGCCTTGTCCTTTTCTGGCGGAGGAGGCCTCCTATTACTTTGACCGCGAGAGGCAAACCATCACATTCTGCTATAATCGACATTCCAATGTCCTTCAGTGTATCAACCTTTTGTTCATCATTATTTTCATTTCCGACCACCTGCAAGCAGCTAATTAAGCCAGTTAATTATGTGGAATATGGAGATATATATACATTTCGTCCTAATCGGAGGCAAAATCGAGTGCTCGTAAATGATTCTGTGTGCAGAGGCAAAATCACGTACGACGTTCTAAGCATATGACCGATGTACCACTTCCGTGCACCTATAGCACTACGGTGCAACTAGGTGACGTCTGTGCACAAAAGTAGTTCTCTCAGCAGTCACTCTATAATTACCAGCTCTTGTATTTTATAGTCACTGTATTATGTACCATAGTCACTCCAGTATTTATTGTAGCTTTTAATAATTATAATTTTATTTTACTAAAATGGAATGAACTGTCCTCTAAGCCCTGCACTGTGGCACTAAAGATATTGAATTTTCTATATCAAAATTTTTTGCAGTAATATTATTTTGTATAAATATAGAATAATTAAAATTAAATTACTAGCATTGATATGACATAATATTTTTTGTCAAAATTTATAAACTTATTTAAATTAAAGGGCGTACCCAGTGCAGAGATAAATGTAATTAACAAAAAATTGTTAGTATCATTATTTATTTGTGGTTTGTTATGGAAGATTTTTAGCTCTTGATTAATTATTAAATAAAGAGTAAATTTCACTAGTGGTCCTCGAGCTTGTCCTAAGTTCTCATCCAGGTTCTAGTACTTTTAAATTACACACTCAACTCCCTAAATTTGTCATGAGTTCTAATCCCGGTCCTAGTATATGCAAATTGCACATTTAGCTCTCTAAACTTGTTCTGAATTCTCATCTCGGTCTTGGTACTTGCAAATTCCACACTCAAGGTTCCTAAAATTGTATTATTATACCATTATGGTCCATTCACCCTATAACATTGTCCCCACCTCCGTCACACCACATGCTTGCCTTACTACCTCCACCTGCCTATATTTGCATCAGCAGGGCGGAGAAACACAGATGGCAGTATGTGCAAACGTCACATGTATCTATTTTAAAATGTTTTTATTATATTTCTTTAAACGATTTCAAAGACCAAGGTGAGCATCACCGTCCAGTTTCACTGCGAAATCGCAAAACTGACGGTGATGGCGGTTTCTAAACAGGTGGGGATAATGTTTCTGTAGTAGTGTCTTCAAAGTAGTTTGTAGCCTAGATTCATAATACTAGTGCGAAAATAAATAACCATCTAGGTTAATTTGCATATCCGTGTGCATAAGAAACCTAATAAAAACTACTGAAAATGCATAGATGTTATAAATTATAAATATTACATAGGGGCACTTTGTTCTTGAGCCAATTTAAGCTCAGTCAGTAATAACAAATGGTGATGATAACGATTATAATTGTTAGAACATTCTGGATGGCCAAAGAATTCCTTGCATGCATATATTTGTTTCCATAAATAAACTACCCTCAACTAACGTTTACAATTAAATGGAAGTTACAACAAATCTTAAAGGTTTTGTAGATAACTTACTAGCCCAAATGTGCATCGGGCAGTAGTGTCGTGCTAAACAAATTTGTTTCTGAAGAAAAGCTACCACAATAGAAGGTGAAGCTTAGGGGCATGGCATGTACAGACCGACTAGCTAGACAGACTATGAAGCAAATGTACAAGACTACCAACTATCTAGATAGATTGTGAAGCAAATGTGCACACATGAATACATAACATATTAAATCCTTAAATTAACTTATACGAACCTGCTTCTTGAGCAAAGACCAGGCATCTTCTTGCTCTAGTTTGTCGACATGGTGGTAGGGAACCTCTGCCATCATGCCTCGAGCAACTGCATCTTGTCTCGTTGTAACGAGAACACGGCTTCCTCGAGCAAGTGATTTTATCAATGGAGGCTTGAGCACCTTCTCCCATGCATGGTGGTCCCAAACATCATCCATCACCAATAAGGTCTTGCACCCCTCCAGGGCTTCCTTAAGGGTTCGCTCTAGTGCAGCCTTTGTGTTTCTAGCTGCTTGATGATGTCCTCGTGCTTCAGTGATAGCTCTCTCTAGTAGACCACTGTCGCTAAATTCTTGATTGACGCTCAACCATAGTCTCTTTTCGAACTCTAATTTCATGAAGTCATGGTTGAAGATCTTCTTGGCAAGGGTGGTTTTGCCAATCCCTCCAACTCCCACAATAGCATAAACCATAACTTTTTTGTGTTCATGTATGTTTTTCTCCTTCTTTGTGAGTAAATTCACTAGATTTCTTGTGTCCTCCTCAATCTTCTCACCAACCACACCTAACTCATCCTCCCCCGTCGTCTCACGCCTAGCGCGAAGGGAGGATTCTACCTTTTTCTTGTCGTCCTCATAAGAAGCAAGGTTGATGAAGTTGAAGGTTTTGCTACGCTTCTCAATGTCATCTAGCCTCTCATTGAGATTCTTTATGCGATTACCAATGCCATGAGCATGGAGAGGATTTCTCAAACAAAAGAGCAAGGGATTGAAGCAGCCCATATCCTTGGATGGACCCCGTTCCATGGCCTTGAGCTGGCACAAATCAAGAATGTTGGTTGCATCATACATGGCATTCCTAAGCTCTCTCACCCATGATTGCACACTCTCGTCGCTGATGTTCCTCTTGTCAGCATCGGCGATGAACCTCTTAAGGTCCCCGAGCTTGATGCCCATCTTTTTTATCTCATCAGGAACACCTAAGAGCAGATGCACCTCTTCTTTAGCCATCTCCAACAGCATGTGTTGTAGATAGGATGCTAAAGCGTCCAATACCACCGCCATTGCTGCTTCGGTGTCTACAAAGTCAAAATTAGATAAAAATATCACGTGATTTGTTTCAAGCAAAGGTAATATTTATGGTAAAGGAACCGAGGTCCCTATAACCATAACACTAATTATTGAAAAGTAGGTCCCTGCAACAATAGATATATAGGTACTAGAATAATTACATCTAACGATAACCGAAGGCACTACTACACAAAATATTTTGCGCAGCGTTTGCAAATAGGCCTCAGAGGCGGGCAGATTTTTAGACTGCCTCGGTTAATGCCTCGATTAACCGAGACGATCATTTTTTATTAACCGCCTCCTAAAATCTATTAACTGAGGCGGACAATTTAACAAAACCGCCTCGATTAATGTCTGTCAACCGAGGTGGTTGCCTTAACGCAACCGCCTCGGTTAATCGATTAACCGAGGCGGTCATCTATAAGGCCTGCCTCGGAAATTCCGGCCTAGCCCACTACTATTTCCTTGCCCAATATCTAGCTCCGACTATATATACCGGATGAAAACCCTAACCTTCACCACTCCCTCCAAGGCGCCGCTCGCTCATCTCCCAAGCGCCGCATGCTCTCCTCCAGGCGCCGCGCTCTCTCGCTCATCTCCCGACCCTTCCCTCTCACTCTCTCATCTCCCTCACTCGGCGCCACTCTCCTCTCTCTCCACCACCGCCGCACATCACCTCGATCTCATCTTCCTCTCGCGGGCTAACTGGTGGCGGGCACCCCTTTCTCTCTCTCCGGCGGGCGACGGGCCAGGCTCGCGTGGCCCAGCGAGCGCGCGGCGAGCGGGGCGGCCCAGGAGCACAGCGAGCGGGGCGGCGGCGGCTTGTGGGGATCTTCAGTAGCTGTGCTCCTAGGCAGATCTAGGGCGTGGATCTCCGGCGGCCGCGCCTCCTCCAAGCACGACACGGTGCCCCCTCCCTCTCCCTCTCCGGCATGCGGTGAGCAGCGCCTCCTCTCCTACACAACCAGGCGGCGGGGAGCAACCCTCCGGCGGCGGATCCGGCCGCGCTCCGACCTCCTCCCCCCTCCCACCTCTCCCTATGGCGCACATCCGGCCGAGAGGTGGCCTACAGTGGCGGATCCGGCGGGTTGGTGCCCGGCGGCTGCGGATCCGGCCTCCTCCCCTCCCTCCATGGCTCCACAGCGTGAATCCGGCGGCGGAGGTGGCCTCCAGCGGCGGAGAGGCACCACAGCAAGCAGCGACGGCCGCGGTGGCCCATGGATGGGCTCGGCGGGCCTGTCCACGGGTTTTTTCTTTTTTTTTTCTTTTTTATTCGATTTATGGAGGCGGGCATCAAACCACCTCGGTAAAGGTCCCATTTACCATGAGTCCATGACCATTTGTTCGAGGCGGTTGTCGGTAAATCCATTTTGCCCGCCTCGGAAAATATTTTGTGTAGTAGTGAGGGCCAGGTTGGGTACTTTTGGTACCAGACCTGGCACCTTGATTTGCATTAAGGTACCAATCTCAACCCGTCACCCTTGTGTGAGTATATTTGTGAGTGGAAGATGAATAACATCTCCAATAAAAATAAGAAAGAAAGAGGATGGAAAGAAAAAACAGAGAGAGCTGGGAGAGACTAGGCATATGCACCTTGATTTGCAGCGGCGAGAGAGAATGCTGTGTCCTACAGTTCCTTGATCTGTTGTGGAGTGGAGCAAGAGGACTGGCCGGGCCAGGCTGGGGGTACATTTGTCACAGAGATGCCAAATTGTTAGATTTGTGGTTGATGTATAATAGTGTATATAAGCGAGTACACAAGTTTGAAGTAGATCTTGGACGCAGAGCTAGCTACGCATGAAAAATTGAATGCAGAGAAATAAGGCGTCGAGGAAACGGACCTGTTGAGCGATGGCTGGAACTGGAAGTACGTTGGACCAAGTGCAGGTGTGGTTTGTGGAACGGCACCTGCTGCCTAGCAGTTGCTCCTAGGCGTGGTTTGCAGCCGGTAGAGAGAGGATAATCTGTGTGCTTCAGTTCCTTGGTCTGTTGTAGAGTAACGCAAGAGGACTGGCCAGGCCTCGCTGGGGTTTACAGTCATCGATCACCATAGAGATGCCGAATTGTTAGATTTGTGGTTGGTGTATATATATAATAGTATATATAAACGAGTACACAAGTTTGTAGTAGATCTCGGACGCAGAGCTAGCTACGCATAAAAAAAATTGCAGAGAAATACAACGTCAAGGAAACGAACCTGTTGAGCGATGCCTGGAAGCCTGGAACAGGAACGAATCCCGGCGTGGTTTGTGGCCACTGCTCTGCTTGACGGACGCTGGCGGAGGTGGTGGTGAATGGGCTGATGGCCAGGGTTGTTGCTAGCCGGCGCCGGAGGGGGCGGACAAGCTGAAATGGACTTAAGCGAAGAACAGAGGAGATGTGAGGTGGTTAGCGACGACTAGAACTGCGGTTGCTTCTCTCGGCAGCTTTAGATGAGAAACGAAGGCAACTTTATAGTTCGCCATGGTCGCCCAGTTAACTGAGCTGGTATTGGCAGGCAGAGTCTGAACATCTTCAAATACTTCAAATAAGTTATAGTCTTACAGACGGTATCAGGGTCAATAATTTTGATATAAATTTATCTTCATACAAATTCATATAAAAAAAATTATGAATTATTTTTTTGACCACGCTTCTTTTCAGAAACGGGCTTGCCACCTCTGTTAATTGTTATGTCTAGGTCCTAGTTTTCTCTTTAACCATTCGTATGAACACCTTTTATTTGTTCATGTTACTAAAAAAGAGTTTAGGTCGCAGTAGTATTGCTTTCCGCATGTTGATTAAGTTGAAACACAAACGACAAGGGCCGCACCGCGTCCACGTCCACCGCACATCGCCATTGCTGCAAATGTCCTTTCCAGCGTCTCAGTCGTCACAGAAAAACACTAGAGTAGTTGACTGACTGCCAACCAATAACGGGCCCACTCGGTTTCAATTTGCTTGAGGAAAACTTTGGCGTCCGACGAGGCGACGACTCCGAAGGTGACCCCGAAACCGAAACCGAAGCCGAAGCCAGATTCTGGCCGAGCCTGGCCCCCCGGTAGGGACACCGAGGACAAGGAGGACTCCGATCCGTAGCAGCCTGGGCCATGCGATGTTCTCACTCCTGTCACCAGCGGCACGTCAGCTTATCACTTTCATCTCGTCTCAGAGTTGGTCGAGAGACTCCTACGCCCGTACGCCGACAGCAGCTTGCGTCACACCAATCTTGATCGTTACTGTACGTATGCCTCCGTGTCCACTCCACCCGCGTGGCTGACTGCGGCAAGGCCACGGAAAACGTTCCTTCAGGCCTAGTAGTGCGAAACGCGTCGTATTCGCCGGCGCCGCGGCGTCAGAGCAGATGCTGCCCTGTTCATATTACTAGGGTGTGTTTAGTTTGCGAAATGAAATTTTTTTATGGTACGTCAGATGTTTTGGGATGTCGGAAAGGGGTTTTGGATACTAATAAAAAAATAAATTACAGAACCCATAAGAAAACTGTGAGACGAATCTAATGATACTAATTAATCGGCCATTAGCACATGTGGGTTACTGTATCACTTAAGGCTTTTCATGGACTAATTAGGCTTAAAATATTCATCTCGCAATTTTACCGAGAACTGTACAATTAGTTTTTTTTCGTCTATATTTAATACTGTATGCATGTGCCGTAAGATTCTGAGATGGATTGATCCACCGATTCCTCCGTCCAGAACATTATTACATCCTCCTTTTCCAGGTGCAAGTCTCGATGGAGCGCACGACGAGGAACAAGAACAACGCACGCAGGTCCTCATGCCAGCAAAGGGCGATACGGCCAGGGAACAAACACCTTAAAAAATCCAGCAGACCGACCGCGTGCGTAATAAGCAACGGAAATTCCATTTGGCTAACATCGGGTACTCTGACTTTTTTGTTATTATTATAAATACGTACATCGCACATCAAGTTTCTTCACTCCGCTGGCATGGAGTATTAAATATAGGTAAAAAAATAACTAATTATACAGTTTAATTGGAAATCACGAGATGAATCTTTTGAGCCTAGTTGGTCTACGATTGGACAATATTTGCTAAATAAGACGAAAGTGATACTATTCATCGGGTTCACTTTTTTTGCAAAGTGAACGAGGCCTAACTTCCATCGTCTTTGCCTGACTTTCCAACTTCCAGTGCTTGATTTTCAACGTGTTCGGCTGGTCAGCTTCGGCTGGCTGGCTGGATTTTTTTTTTTAGCCAGAGCAGTATTTTTCTCTCACCAAATTCTAATATAAACAGTGTTTTCTAACTGCTACAGTAGAAATTTAATGCCAGCCGAACACGTGCTTTGACGACGAACTTGGACATTGGTTTAGCATGCAGCCAGAGTCTTTTGTTCCCTCTTTCTGAAAGCAACTTTCTCAATTGACAATAAAATGGCGACGACACGACGAAACGCTTTCCATCCACACACCGGACACCGGGTTGTTCCGTGTCCACCTCGTAGCCGCCACTGCCAGTGGATATCATCAAAATGTCATTCCAAGAAATGTACCAAGTAATTGTCTTCACTTTCACAAGAAAATGCGACTCCTTCTCATTGTCTTCTAAGACATTGATGCCATATTGCCATCAACAAATTAAAGCTTTGTTTCGCACAGCTCTTGATGGCTCTGTCTCCATTTTATAAATCAACTCTTTCTTGCTAAAATAATCTGGAAGCCTGGAAAGCAATTTTTTTGTAACTTCAGAAGCTCCTATGACTCTATGAGTCAGTAAAACTGTAGCAGGAGACGTACCAAACAGGTGAATTTATCAATCAATAATAGAACCAAAAATGAAAAAGAAAGGGGGCACTGGAACTAATCGTTGTGCTAGATATAATTAACGTACCTGGTCTACTGCTCCCTCTGAACGATTCAAAAATAGGCAAACGCAAAAGAAGTTGGGGTGATTAAAAATGTGCCCCGCCTAATTAATCATCAGTAATCTACTGGACGAATTTATTAAACCTAATTAATTCGTTATTAGCATATGTTTACTATGGCACAACATTGTCAAATCATGGACTAATTAAGCTTAATAAATTTATCTCGTAAATTAGTCTCAAACTATAAAATTAATTATTTTTAGTCTATATTTAATGTTGTATGCATGTGTCTAAACGTACGAAACTTTAACCGGTGAAAATAAAAGGGGTGTTTAGTTGGGCAACATAGTAAAGATTTCCTACTGTAGCAATTTCGTTTGTATTTGTGAATTATTGTTCAAACATTGACTAATTAGGCTCAAAAGATTCGTCTCGCAAAGTTAAAGCAAACTGTGCAATTAGTTTTTTATTTCGTCTACATTTAGTACTCCATGTATGTGCCAGAGTATTAAATATAGACTAAAAATAATTAAACGATGTGCCGAAGTATTAAAAGCGATGTGTAAGATTCGATGTGACAAGAAATCTTGAAAATATTTGGATTTTGGGTTGCTAAACATGGCCTGAACAAGTCCGAAGTCTGCATGAATTTGAACTGTGTGCCGACCGCACCACGTCACGGGGACACGTTGATACCAGCACACATCACAAACGACAAGGCCCGCACCGCGTCCACGTCCACCGCACATCGCCATTGCTGCAAATGTCACAGAAAAACAGTAGAGTAGTTGAATGATTGCTACTGCCAACCAATAACGGGCCCACTCGGTTTCAATCTGCTTGAGGGAAACTTTGGCGTCCGACGAGCCGACGACTCCGAAGGTGACCCCGAAGCCGGATTCTGGCCGAGCCTGGGCCCCCGGTAGGGACACCGAGGAGAGGCGAGGCTTGAGAGCATGGTAAATAATCCAGCAAGCAGCGGGTGGTATGCCACTGCCATGTCATATACAGTCAGCTATATAGCCTACTCATATAGTAGATGAGCTCTTTGGCTGGCTGCTGCTCAGATTGTAATCATTTATTGCTCAAATATACAAACAAGCTGCAAACCATCAGCTGTGATCACATCTTTGTGGCTGTATATATGTGCTCATTCAACTAGAAAACAAATATGCTCATCCATACGACGGTGCTAGAAGCATGAAGCCATAGTTGATAGCTGAACTTCGGTAGAATGCAGCAGCCAGCCCATTTGCATCAAAAGTGAAAACACTGCAAGCATAATAATGCGAAAGTCAAACATATGGGTCCTGAAAATTAGCTAGAAAAGTTTCTGTTTGTGGATAAGTGTGGATCAAATATGTTGAAGAGAACATGTTCAGAATTTTAGAGTGGATACCTGCAAGTAGCATTTGCAGCATTCAGCACGCCATGCCCAGTCCTGATTCATGAAAAGATACATGTAAGACATCATGTTAGTTCTCACTGTGAAGGGAAAAAATAACAGAAACATGTAGATTTCATAATTCTACCATGACTAGTTCTGATGGCTATTTCCAAACCTACGCCAAATATGCTCGACCAAATCATTTTTAAGCTGGGTATGCTGTGGACGAGCACGGATAGAAGCTTTTCTACGCAACACATCAGCGAAGCACAGATTACCACCAGTGTTCACTTCAGGAGGTAGAGCAATGGATGCCCCTGGATTCTCATTCAAATCAATATGAATAGTAGCATCATCTCTCTCATCTTCCACTATCATATTGTGGAGAATCACACAAGCTAGCATGATCCTTCCAACACTCTTCCTCTTCCACAGGCGTGCAGGACGGCGAACAATGGAAAAATGGGACTGCAGTACCCCAAAAGCACGCTCCACATCTTTCCTTGCCCCTTCCTGGTGCTTGGCAAACAACTTATGCTTCTCTGTTTGAGGAAGTATAATAGTCTTCATGAAGGCTACCCATTCTGGGTATATACCATCAGCAAGGTAATAACCTATGTTATACTCATTCCCATTAACTGAAAACTGAATTTGAGTGGCTTCTCCTTTTAAAGCATCAAAAAATAGTGGGGACTGGTTGAGCACGTTAAGGTCATTGTTTGACCCAGCAACTCCAAAGAAAGCATGCCAAATATGAAGGTCCTGAGAAGGAACAACTTCTAGGACTATAGTTGGAACTCCATAATCACCACGGGTGAATTGACCCCTCCATGCTAAAGGACACTTCTCCCAATGCTAGTGCATGCAATCTATGCTACCTAGCATTCTAGGGAAACCACGAGACTCATTAACCTGGAGTAAACGCTCAACATCCTCACGTGTGGGGCGTCGCATGTACTCCCCACCAAACACCTCAATCACCCCTCGTGCAAACTTGTCCGAGCACTGTAATGCAGTGCACTTTCCAATCTTCAAGTACTCATCAAGAGCATCTGCAGGAGTGCCATAAGCCAGCATGCGCATGGCTGTTGTACACTTCTGCAGTGGTGACAGCCCTATTCGACCAGCACGATCTGCCCTATAAGTAAAATAGGGAGACCACTGACCAAGGGCATCCACAATGCGTAAGAATAGACGCCTATTCATACGGAATCTAGTACGGAACATACTCTCGGGGTAGAGTGGTTCTGCAGCAAAGTAGTCCTCTACAAGACGCTCATGAGCACCTCCATGATCCCTCCGGATGCTCTTTCTAGGACCATATTGTCGCTGAGAAACCCCACCCGAGAAGGCAGCCTTGATCTTCATTGTGAGCGTGCTAGCAAAGGAGTCGAGGACGCTCTGCTCTGCAACATGCTGTTCAATGATTTTGGAAGGAGCTAGTTCATCAGAATCATCTGAGTATGAATATGAGTCAGACATGGTTTGGGCTGAGTAGAAAGATGAGAAAGCACGAGTAGGAAGATGAGAGTGTTCTGATGGGCTGTAGAAGTAAGATGGTGACTACAATGTCCTCTATAAAGACATGGCTGCCACTACTTGGCACTGCTGCCACTACTTGGCACTGTTGCCATGCTTCTATAGTAGATAGAGAGGACAGCATTGTAGTTCAGCACTGCATTGTATAGAGTGTTCTGATCTACATTGTAGTTCAGCACTGTATTGTAATTAGGTGCAATTTACTGCATTGTAATTAGGTCCTAAATGCACCAGAAACCAATAGTGTCCACGTTTTCAGCAACAAAATGTATTTTAGTAAGCAAGACCTTAGTAACTAAAAAAACTAAGTTTTAGTAGGATTGTACCTCAGTCATTTTTGTTAAATAAGCTCTCCTTCAGGCACTTCAATGCCAACATATGCTCAGCTTTCACATCTTCAGGCATTCCAGTTGTGTTTTGCATCAATAATGATCTATATGTTTCTAGCATAACTGCCTCCTTGTGCTCTTTTGCTGCAAGGTGAGCAAGCCTCCGAGATTCAAGCTTCTCACTGGACACACGCCTTTGTGTTTCTAACATCTCTGCACGCCCTTCATTTGCTGCTTTTTGAGCATCTAAAAAGTTGTTAAGCTCATCTTCAAGATCTATTATACAAGGCTGCTCTTTTTTTTTCTTCATCTGCTCCTTAGCTTTCTTGCCCCCTATTGGCCGTTCATCATCATCTAGAGAGAAATGTTGCCCCACATCCTCCTCAACAAACTTTCTCTTGCCTGGTTCAAGATCCTCGAGGCGTTCTAGATAGGCGTCCCATTTTGGCTCCTTGCTAAGAACTTCCCAACAATGCCTAAACATGAATGGCCCATCTTTTTTGTGGTCTTCTTCGTAACTTTGCAGTGCCTTGTTCATTACATCCTCATCAGATTCACCACTAGCCCACATAGCATTGGCCTCCTTCCAGTTACCACCAAACCAAGCAACCCTTTTCTTAATTCTTCCAAAGTGATCCTTTATTTGCTTGGCTGTCCTGACTCGGTCTTTTGGGGTGGTGCTATTAAATACATCAGCAACACCTTTCCAGTACTGATCATTCTTCTTAAAATTGGCTTGGATTGGATCATTTGAATTATTCACCCAAGCAGCGACCTAAAACATTGTCAAATTGTCAAAAGATGTTAACTGATGTGCTAACAATGTAACACATGGAGCCCATTAACCCAAAAAAGAAGAAGATCTTACCAATCTAAGATCCTCCTTTTTTGTCCATGTCAAGCGTTTTTCAGTCCTAGTATTGTTGTCAACATCAATATGTATTGCTTGTGATGAACTCCCATTGCTCGCAGCTTGTGGTGTGCTCTTCAAAATATTTAGGAAACCACCAGGAGGGTGAGAATCTAATCCCCTGGCAAAAAAAATGTACCCTAAATCAAAATTTGCATTAAAGAACTAGATATAAATAAATAGCAGCTTAGAACTAGAGATCTACAGTTAAAAAAATTCATGTCTAACTAGATAAGAAGCATCACAAAAACTGCAGAAGTCTCTCGCATACAGGACATCTAATTTCATAGCTACAGAGATGAAATACTTGCACATAAATATTAATCGTCATCGGTACAGAGATAACATACCATTCTTGCACATCGGACTCCTCAAGATTAGGCCCAGACCAAGGATATGCTGAAGCACCAACGCCAGGAGGTGCCCACCAAGGGCCTTGAGCCGATGAGCTTGCCATGCCCGGTTGCTGTACGCCGGTTAGCCAGCATGGTGCGGAGGAGGGAGGCATGGACTGTGGCGGGCGAGGCGGGCACCAGACACCAGGTCCAAACATGGAAGGGATGGACGGCGGGGGAGCGGGCTGAGTCGTCGCGGGCTGACCAGACTGAGCCACCGGCGGCGGAATCTCCATGGGCGTTGGCGCAGATGTTCTCTTGGACTTCCGACTCATCTCGCCCAAGTGATGGCTGCTGGGTATGGCAGCTAGGGTTTGGGAGAGGTGGCGATTGGGGAAGATTTGGGGCTTAAATCCTTGGATTTGGCACGCGAGGAATCGATTTGGCGCGCGAGGAATCGATTTGGCGGGAAGAGCATGATCTATTTGGCGCTGGGGAAGGGGAAGCGGAGCACGGGATCGGGAAGGAGAGAGACGGGAGGATGAGGCGCCGGCTTCTCGCTCGCATCAGGCTGGAAGACGGCGTTTTTTTCTCGTACGCTGCGCTACAGCCGGACGAAGAGAATAACGCTCGCTCCGTGATCTCTCTCCTCCGTGGCTGTTTTTGTGATGGCGTGGACTCCTCTCCGTCGGCTTGCAGTCGATTATAATACTTGCTCTGATATGCACACCGTCAAGCAGTACTCCGATCCGTAGCAGCCTGGGCCATGCGATTATGTTCTCACTCCTGTCACCATCGGCACGTCAGCTTATCACTTTCATCTCGTCTCAGAGTGGTCGAGAGACTCCAATGCCCGTGCAATGCAGAGCTAAATGCTGTAGGAGTACAACTAACTAGAGATGGCCTATTGCCATTTGAAGGATCCGATTCCCTTCAGGTTGATAGGGCCGTTGCACAAAAATTAAACTAAGAAGGTAATTAGAGCCAGTTTTGCCAGCTGGGAGGAACTGGAAGGCGTGCATCTCTACCTTTTGATGCGTGATGCCTCACATGTGAACGTGGAGCACCGTTTCTGTTCAGGCCTTTGATTCAGAAGGTAACACTTTTTATGTTTTCGTCCATTCGTTCTAAGAAATCGTACGGCCAAACTAGGAAACTCATATGCGCGTCTGGGCAAAGCCGGATATGAGCCAGATGACGGGTAGTTCCTCGGCACGCCGCATGGGACGGCTGGGAGCCATCGGAGCGGAGCACACGGTTGTATGGGTCGAAGTCGACGGCACGGTCATTGGCAAAGAGAAAGACAGTGCCGTCAGGGAGGAGGTGGAGGAACGGCCGAAAGGACTCCGTCGTCTCGTCCATAAACGGAAAGAACGTCAGCGCCGGCGCGGCGTCGGCGTGCGGGAAGTACTCGAGGTTGAACTGCCGCCGCCCGCCGAGGATGAGCACGCGGCCGTCGGGGAGGATCATGTCGGTGGCGTACCAGCGCCAAGCGGCGAGGAACGACGGGAGCTCGACCCAGCCCGTGGCCGGGGAGAAGAGCCGCGCGACGCGGTCGCCGTTGGAGAAGCCGCCGGTCTGGAGGAGCGTGCCGTTGGGGAGCAGCGCCCCCGAGGAGCACCACGGGTTGGTGGCCAGCGGGTACGGGTGCAGCAGGTTTGGAGCGGAGGTCCAGGAGCACCGAGTGAGCCGTGCGGTCGGCGCCGTCGGCGGTGGCCGCGCACGGCGCCAGCGCGGCCAGCGAGATGTTGGAGGGCCCCGTGTCGGTGCGGTCGAACATCAGGACGAAGTCCCCCGGCAGCAGCTGCATGTGCATCGCCGAGACGCCGATGCTCGCATGGAGGAGCTGCCATTCTCCCTGGAACGACGAGGACGGTGTGGTGGGCTCCTGCGACGGGGCATCATCGGCGCCGGCGGCATTGGCAATGCAGCTGGCGATTAGGAGGAGGTGTAGAAGCAAGGATCTTGGCTTGGGCATGGCTGCTGAGCATGCATCCATGCATGCGATCTTTAAGCCTTTTCATGCATCCTTGCGATGTTGATAAGCTAGGTGTAGATGTAGGTTTGTAGCTAGCTTGTGTACAGAGTGTGTTGCGTTGCATTGTGATGGTACAGGGAAGGTTGCATTGCATTGTGTTGGGTGGAGGGACCGAGCGGCGCTCGCCCAGGTGGCCATCCTCTCGTCGGTCTTCTCCCTGTCTCTACTTCCTTCGGTGCTTGCTCTCTGTCTGTCTCAGATTGGCAGCGCTGCATCTGGCCGTCGGCGAGCAGACCCACCGCTGGTTGTTCCTCTCTCCATCTCCGTTCGTGCGGTTTTTCTCTCGGTTCTGTTCGGCTGTCGGTCCTGATCGTGCGGTGCACCGCTCGGCAGTGTCTGGTGCCCTTCGGTGGTGTCCGGTGCCTGTCAAAAGTGCCGGCCCAATTTTCAGTCTGGCAGGTTCGAATTTCCATCCCTGTTTTTTTTGTTTGTTCCGTGGTTTGCGCGTTTGTGCTCGGATTTAAGTTCCATCTTTTGCGTTGGTTTTCCATCAATTCAAGGAACTTATCTAAGTATTCTCGTCACCAGTTGGCATGGATATTTTAGATTTGGGAACTTCTTTTGGTTTGCTTGTTTGGCAGTGATTTGGGGACAGCGGCCAAATATTTCGAAAGAAATTTTACGGCTCCCATTCACCTCCCTCTGGTCACCGTTTTCGGTCCTTTATATTGCTACTAATTTAAATATCTGAAAAATAAAAGGAGCCTCGTTAGGAAGCTGCATTCTCATGGCACTGGCAGCATATATATGAACATTTAGTTGGCAACCTACGTACATTTTGAGGCTCACAATGAATCCGCAAGCCGGAATAAGCTGTATCATAACATTTGTTTTGTAACATAACGACTCACAAGTTAATTATACGTACAAGGCTCTGTATTCTCAGGTGGTAACCTGCATCCACAGTACACACAGATTCGGATAAAAAAACTAATTCACATCACATGGCATTTAGTCACCATGAATTTATTTGCAGTGTCCAACATCTGATTGCTTCTTCTTCGGCCGAAGCGATGATAGCTCCAGCCTCCAAGGCTGCTTTTTGTCCATGCGGCACTCCACCTGCAGGCGAGGTCTTTTATGCATTCTATAATCGATAGTTCTAGAGACGTATGTAGTAATAATAATAGTCTTGGAGTAGCATGCATACTTTATTGTTACTCCCTCTGTTGTTCCACGATGAATTCCCTTCAAACTTGCTCCACTTTGTCCAATAACACCTCCTCTGTTTCATCCCCTGAAACGGACCGTCTAGTCAAGTAACCAGATATTCCAATAGCAAGAAAGGTGCTCAGTATATGCAACATATAAAGTAGCAGTGTTGTGTTAATTTACCTGAAGCGTCGGCAGAGGGGCTGATGTTTGTCTTGAAGCTGAAAGGATCTATCGTGTACTTCACGTACCACTTCCTTTCAATGTTGTTGTCATCATCATCTGCATATGCATTGACCTGCTTGATATGGCTGAACTTGTCCCACTCAAGACTAGATTTCCCTTTACCTATGGAAGCGAGCAACAGGACATCACAGTCTACATGCAAATCCCTTGGGTTTACGTCCTTCAAGTATCCAGGGAGTGTTTCCATGTCGTAGTCCTCCAGTGTGAGTCTATGAAGTGCAGGCAAACCCTCTAGTACCTTCAACTCTGGGCATCTTACGATCACGAGGTTCTGCAAATTTGGCAGATTGCTGATCCTCTCTAGTCCATGACATCCTCTCACCACAATTTTCAAACCAGAACCAAAGTTCTCCACAGCGCTTGGGTGCTCATGACGGTGTGGTAGTAAGAACTCTGGCCCAACACGCTTGATGCCTGGGGCGCTTCTAATGTGTAGGAACTCCAAGCTGGGGAGCTGGAACAAGCTGTCGGGTAGCTCCGTGCAATAAGGCAAGTCTTCCATGAATAGAATCCTCAAGCATCCAAGGGACACAATTGCTGTCGACGTCATCCACCGTGGAAGTCGTTGACCAAAGTACCCTTCGATTGTAAGATTTTCTAAGCAAGGCGGAGGGCAGAGCTCATCAAACACCTTCTCGATGTGTTGCTGCTCTTCCAGTTTCACCAACCGGTGAGCACCTCCACTACTACTAGTGCACTGTAAGTTCAGATAGCTGAGGCACACCTTTTCACCAAGCTTAACCTTTATAGCAAATGTGGAATAAGATACATTCTCCAGGCCACGAATATCAAGACTCGTGAGCCGGTTAAGAGGTCCTAATTCTTCCAAACTACACCAATCACCCTCCACATGGGCAGGAAACCCCCATAATATCCTCAAATTAGTTAGGCTGCCGAAACCCCTGGGTATATTGTTTATACCTGAGTATACAAGGCTTAGATACCTCAGCTGCCGTAACTCTCCAATGCCACGAGGAAGCTTCACCAAACTTCGACAATTAGTAAGGTCAATGCACTGCAAGAATTTCATCTTGGCTATTTTTTTTGGCAGCCTAGATGTGTTAGTGCCATCTAGGCACAAATACCTCAAGTGTTTGAGTTGGACCAAGGATTTAGACAATGCATCAAAATTTGCATCTTCTATATGTAGGGTCCGCAAACATGGAAAACATGACAGTGAATCACCTGGGTTGATCTTACTTTTCCCACCAAAAATTAGTGTTCGTAGTGATATATGTGCTTGCAGAGAACTCCATGCTAGCTTATTTGACTCTGTTCCTTTGTTTTCTAGTGATAACCGAATAATATTTTCTGGAATGCTATTAATGGTTGGCCCAGCTTCACTTTTCTGAGTTACCAGTGCTTCATCTCTAGTCAAATACTGAGCAAATGAACGAACAATATCATGCATATTGCAAACTCCATGGTCCACATACCTTGGATCTGGCTCTAGAAGGTTCCTAGCTATTAATTGGTCATAGTATTATTTTCCTAATACTTCTAAATCACACGAGTTTCCATGAACAAATCCTTCCCCAATCCACATGGCAACAATACGCTCAAACCCGAACAATACGCTTTTGGGCAGAAAGCAAGACTGCAACTCTGGGTTCAAATCTTGATAGCTAAGGTATACCGCATAGTTTAGCTCTTCAGGCATTTGAGATACTGGCCATGTAGAATAATTTAGGACATTTTTCCAGTCGCTTCGCCTTATGTTTTTCTGGCGGAGAAGGCCTCCTATTACTTTGACTGCGAGAGGCAAACCATCACATTTTGCTATAAACGACGTTCCAATGTCCTTCAATGCATCAACCTTTGGTTCATCATTGTTTTGATTTCCAACCACCTGCAAAGCAACTTAAGCTTGTTAATTGAATGGAATATGTAGATACTGTGTGCACTAAAATAGATGGAAAAATCATCGTATATGTATATCACTACGGTGCAATTAGGTGACGTCTGTGCCTGTGTACAAGAATAGTGTTCTCATCAGTCACTATCATTACCTGCTCTCGTCTACCTGATGTTTATAGTCACTCCAGTATTTATCGTATCTTTTATTTAATTTTTTCTTATTTTATTAAAAAAGGCTGTACAGTACGCCATACTACTTCTCACTGCCAAGTACTGACAGTGATAAGTGATAAAAAAGCACAAAATGCACGCCAGATTACTGCATCTTCACTGCCAGTAACCGACAATGACAGTATTTAAACTCAAGATCTCAACATTCTCCTGAGCATCTATACCAGCAGAGCTATACAACACTTGTGAATATACAACTGATGCTATTATTTTAACTACACAATTTTGAATCTTATATTGCATATTTGATATTCTAAATGATCTCAAATGAAAAGGTTGTTAACTGCAAAGTTGTAGATCGATCTCATCGACTACTAACTCTACTATTGACTTTGTCTCCATTCGACATCATTAACCATCTCAAATCCCATTGGTGAACTTACATAGAATATTTTGATATGTAAACCATCTTAAATTAAAAAGTTGTTAACTACAAAGTTTTAAATCTTTTTGAACGTATAAAGCTTATCTTATCAAACATCATATGAAAAAGTTATTACTTTTTTGTAAAATAGCCTATCACTGTTGGTTGTAGCCACAAACCGGCCACGACGGGTGGTCCTTCACTGCATGTTCGTGGCTATAACCAGCAGTGATAGTACACTGCCTGTCACTATCACTTGTAGCCACGGTTCGTTCGTGAAAGTTCGATTCGTTCATGAAAGTTCATCTATCACTGTCAGTTGTACTATCACTACCGGTTCCAAAGCAACCAGCAATGATGGTCCGACAATGATGGCCTGTGTTTGCGGTAGTGCTAGGTCCTATGCTACCCACTTGCCTATTAATAATGGTATGAACTATCATGTCAGCCTGCACTATGGCACTTAAGGCCATGTTTGGATGTTGTAGTATTAAGAAACAACGATTTTAGAACCTATAGATGTGGTAAACCATGATTTAGCAACAAAGAGGTCTAGATATGAGTTTATAAAACTCTAAAGAGACTACAAATTTAGCAAAACTCTGGTTTTCAAAACCATAAAATTTGTTGCATCAAAACACTTCATACAACTCTAATAAAATCAAAGTATTTCATAAAAGCATGGTATTTTTCTAAAACTCCAAAAATACATCTGCATCCAAACAGGGCCTAAGATTTTGAACTTGCTACATTCAAAAATTGTATATGTTGTAGAAGTATTATTTTTATAAAAATATAGAATAATCAAAATTAAATTACCAGTGTTGATATGACATAGTATTTGAGTCAAATTTTATAGAATTATTTGAAATAAAAACTTATAAACTTTTTTGTCATGCCATAGTAATGTAATTTAAAATAAATTATCAGTGTCATTTATATGTGGTTTGTTAAGTAACACTTTAGCACTTGATGATCTATTAACTAAAAATATCCTAATGTATGTACGTTTGATTGGTCGATATATTAACCCAACTTTATGTTAATAACCGAAATGTATAGCATGGATCATGGAGGATGCAAACTATACAGCCACGATGTTGTCAGAAATTGGTCCTACTATCGGCCAGGTTGAAGGTGAAAGAATGAACTAGAGAAACCAGAGGATTTATTTTAATGAACATCTGTCCCTGGTGATGGTTCAGTAATTAACTAATCGGTCCCAATACAAGCCTACATGAAGCTAGTCCTCGTTTGAAACCCAAAGATTGGGTATATGATCCTAGAAAATAAATTCATCCCTTTGTGACATTTGGTTTATTTTTTGATTCCAATTTGACACTATATGTTCAATTTCGTTGCAACTTATCATGAGATTATTCATAAAAGGACCAAACACCCCTGGTAGAAAAACGTGTGAGGGCTTTTGCTTTATACACACACTCCCTAAGACGGAGGGGAGAATGATGTGTGTGACATGAATGAATGAATGAATGAATGAATGAAATCGAGATGATGCGGACAGAGAGACGCGTAGAAGCAGAGGAAGCCCGCATGCTTTATACACACACTCCCTAAGACGGAGGGGAGAGGACGCTTGTATCCACGTGGAAGCAAGCAAGGGATACACTTTCTGACACGAGGGCCCGGGTCGCGTTAGCTGCGCGCCCAGGAGGGAATGTATCCTGAGTGCTTTTGCTTTAGGCCGCGGCGTTGGAAGCATGTTGCAGCGATCCATCCTGATGTCGTGTGAGGGCTTTTGCTTTTGGCCACTGGAATTGGAAACGGCAAAGCATATGTTGCAGCGAGAAGCAAGGAATATATACAAGCTGGTCATGTGCTTTTGACCATCTGACTAGAGATGCCCTATTGCCCTGAGAAACGCAACAAGTAGGCAACGCCGTTAGGAAAATGCAAAGGATGGCCAAGGATCCGGTACGCTTCAGGAGCCCGTTCGCTGGTCTGAAACTTGGCTGAAACTGGCTGAAAAACACTGTTCCGGCTGAATTGTTGTGAGAGAAAAACACTGTTCCGACTGAAAAAAGAAGCCGAACAAGCCATTTTTAAGACAAGCGAACGGGGCCCAGGTTGATAGGGCCGTCGGCGGTGGCTGCGCACGTACTACGGGAATCAGTGGCTTTGCGGCAAAGCTCAATTTATACTCGGCAAAGGTTTTGTCGAGTGCTGCACTCGGCAAAGAATGCGTCAGCAAAGGCGTCTTTGCCGAGTGTCTTTTGTCGGGCACTCGGCAAAGCCTTTGCCGAGTGCCAGTTGGAACCGAAAAAAAACCCGAAAAAATGGGAATTTTTACCAAAAAAAATAGAATTTTTTTTTAATCGATGGAGGCCCCCACCGGCTAGTGCCCACCCATCTCTGGCATTTTTCGCGTAAATTTCATGGCTACGCGGCCGACGCAATTCGAACCCGAGACCTCTCGCTATGCACGAACCTTCTCTACCACTACACCACACTCTCACTTGTGTCTGGATTCCATTTTAGTTCCCAATATATTATACTAAACCGAGTGTAAATTGCATGTTTGAGGTCCTAAACGAATTCAAATAAAAAAGTTGTAAACTACAAAGTTTCATAACTTTTCGAGATCTACACTTTTAGTTTAGGAAGTTTTTCCATCCGAGGTCGTTTATAAAATTTGAATTTTAAAATTTTGAAATTCAAACACAGTTTTGCATGACAAGATGTTTTCAAATCAAAAAGTTGCCAACTACAATGTTTCATAACTTTTCGAGATCTACAGAGTTTATTTTGGTTGTTTTTTCATCCGAGGTCGTTTGAAAAATTCGAATTTTAAAATTTTGAAATTCAAACGCAGTTTTGCATGACAAGATGTTTTCAAATCAAAAAGTTGCCAACTACAATGTTTCATAACTTTTCGAGATCTACAGAGTTTATTTTGGTTGTTTTTTCATCCGAGGTCGTTTGAAAAGTTCGAATTTTAAAATTTTGAAATTCAAACACAGTTTTGCATGACAAGATGATTTCAAATCAAAAAGTTGCCAATTACAAAGTTTCATAACTTTTCGAGATCTACAAAGTTTATTTTGGTTGTTTGATCATCTGTTCATCCGACATGGTCGTTCTAACATTGTTCACAAATCTTATATATCTCTCTTGTAGTTTCATAAACTACAAGAGAGATATGTTAGATTTGTGAACAAATTTACTTTCACTTTGTCATATGAAGAAAAGACCAAAACAAACATTGTACATCTTGATGAGTTATACAACTTTGTAGTTGAAAACTTTTTCATTTGAATTAATTTACTGCTTCAAAATATGCTTTGAAATTTTCTTTGCCGAGTGTCAAAAAAATAACACTCGGCAAAGAAGCTCTTTGCCGAGTGTCAAAAAAATAACACTCGGCAAAGAAGCTCTTTGCCAAGTGTCAAAAAAAACACTCGGCAAAGGAGTCTTTGCCGAGTGCCCGAAAAACAACACTCGGCAAACCACTTGGCACTCGGCAAAGACAAGATCTCCGGTAGTGACGGCGCCAGCGCGGCCAGCGAGATGTTGGAGGGCCCCGTGTCGGTGCGGTCGAACATGAGGACGAAGTCCCCCGGGAGGAGCTGCATGTGCATCGACGACACGCCGATGCTCGCGTGGAGGAGCTGCCATTCTCCCTGGGACGGGGGCATCATCGGCGGCGGCGGCATTGGCAATGCAGCTGGCGATCAGGAGAAGGTGGAGAAGGAAGGATCTTAGCTTGGGCATGGCTGCTGAGCATGCGATCTTTAAGCCTTTTCATGCATCCTTGCAATGTGATAAGCTAAGGTAGGGTGTACATAGTGTGTTGCATACTTGCATCGCATTGTGACGTTGTGTTGGTGGAGGGTTGGTACAGGGAAGGTTGTGGGGAAATGGGGAATACGCATTTCATGCTTGGAACCGGGTATGCGATCTAAATGATACAAACTTTTTGGACTCAACGGAATTAGGTGAATCTTGCAATTTTTGGACCTGCATTCATTCTGTTGACCAGTGAAAATATTCTGGTTTAGCTAATAATTAGCTGAATTTTTGCCAAACAACTAGTGTTATACGCCCCTTACGAACAACTAGTAACAAGAACTGTATGTTGCATACTTGTTTACTCCCTCAGTTGTTCCACATTGACACATTCTTCTTGTTGTGACTAGCTGTCTCAGACAAGGTGGAGGTAGAGGCCTTCACCCCTCAAGCATGCAGAGGGGGCGGAGGCCTCCAGCCGCTGAGCCTCGCCCTCGGGCGGAGGCTCGAGAAACAGACGCAACAGACGGACGTGTAAGGAGAACGGCACTCAAAACTAGGGTTTCATTAATTCATCCACCAACCAAACCTTATTGTTACAAGTGTCCGCTATTTATAGGGCTCAACTACCACTTTTACAGAGTTTACAA